GTGTCATCTAAATAATCTTCATTGCTTTCACATGCTTGGCGTATGGAATGTTCTTATTCATACAAAAATATTTAGTTTACTGGAAGCAACATGCAAATTCATGTATTGATCTTTGTAAGATTTAGTAATCACGCCCTTGTCACTATCGTTGGATGCCTCATATCCGCAAGTCATTCATGACACTGTGATCTTTAGGTAAGAGTCTGTTTCTATGAGCACAATTGAGTTATAGTTGGGCTCGGTTGACACTGGCAGCATGTGCTGCATCAACACACGCATGCTATTGGCAGAAAAAGGGGAAAAGAAAAAGATACCAAATGAAGATGTTGCGTCGGGATGGGCTTAGGACCTTCATTAACATTGTACTCTCCATTCCTTGCTTCCCTCTTAAAATAAAAAAAAATGAAATTTCTTTTTTTACTATTGACATGGTATGCTGCTAAATTCGTCTTGTAATCCCTTAAATATCGATAGGTTTAATTCCCTATTTAATTATTGTCAACATCAATTATGAGAAGCACTTTAAATTTTTATTTTTTTCAAAATACAATGACCAACCCAAATAGTTCTCTTTTCCAATAATTTTATTTTATTTTTCTCTGTAACATGGTGGAAATCAGTTCTAGAGTTTTCATTAGTTCATCATGTTATTCACATTCCTTCACAGTAATTGACATCTGGAAGTGGTTTATATGTTTCTTTGTAAACACATCCTTTTTTGACATGACAAAGTTCATATAGTGTGTATAGATGTAGATAATATATGGAGAGATAGTTGTAGATAATATATGGAGACATCTAACCAGACTCTTCAATCATATTACATTTTGGTGAAACAAGACCATTTCTATTGATAATTTGCTTTTGTACAACTTATTACAGTGAAATACAGCTTAAAACCCCAAACTGGTTGTTTGGCCAAAGAAAGTATGAAGAAAGTATACCTGCAACAAAAGTCACCGCAAGTGAAAAGGCAAATGAGAGATCTGAAGATGATTTAAGCGCTGCTGGTTATGGTAGCTTAAATTGGCTTTCTCATGCTGATGATGGATGTGAGGAGGATATCTTCAAAAAGTAATTCTCTTCCACATTAAAATTGATAGCCTAATTACCGTTGGACAGTGCTAGTTGTGGCACTAAATGGTTTTTTACCCAAATGTACTATGCACATAAATTGTCTAGTAAATTGATCCAATGTTTGCAGCTTCTGCTTCATCTCCAGATATGCAATGCTTTTAAAAAGTCGGATATTATGTTTAATGGTTCTGTATATGTTCCAACTAATACACTTGCGATCAATTTAAGATATTTTCACAGTGAATGAGAATCAAGTGACAAGCATTATAATCTGTTTACCAGTTCAAGAAAGAAGAAGAAAACTTGTGTTCTTTTTTTTTATTTGTAACATTAGCTTACAACTGATCCAGGCAAAAGTAGGAACTTTGGTGACAATCAGTGGCAGTAAGTCTATGAATAGTTTAATTTATGTTCTTATCATGTTATATCATGCATGAAATTTATCTGGTACGTATTGAAGCTGTACATGAATCAGGTGACTTTCATTTTGTCCAAATGTGTATGTGTTTGACATGGAAGCATGCAGATTTCTGTAGGTGCACACACCTAATTTTGCCACATTATACTATGAGTTTCCCTTGTCTGACATTTATATTGGTGTCACCATGCCATATCTTGCTTGTCAGTTACATGATAGTCTTATTCCTTGAAAGATTGATATGTTTTCCTGTTCTGAGTAGAAGGAATCACAAGTTCCACAGCATTTTGACATGTTCCCAGTACATTTGGTCTAGCTGAGTTTTGACTATCTACATTAGCTCTAAGGTCATTGGGAGATGAGAAAACTCTACTTTAGCCTGTTCTAATTTGATAATAGCTTTTCTATTATTGAACTTTTTTTTGGCCGATTTTCGTTCTTATTTGAATAGGTAGCCTGGTGGGTCAAAAAAAAATTCTACAATGAGTATAGTATATGTTAGACTAGTTATTTATTGTTAGGATTTACATTTTGATAGTTCTAAAATTCAATTTTATTAGTTGTAGGTGGTGATATCCACTATCTTTTTCACAACTTAATAAGTGATCTTTCAAGGCATGGTTGGACAACAATTTTTTTCTATTGAAAAATTATTTTCTTCAAGGGAAACATTTTGCAATAATGTCATCGTTGATCCAAAAATGTCTTATTGTATAGTGTAGGACTATACTAATATCTTTTCAGTATTTTTCCCCTAATAAACCAGAAATCTGATTACTTCTTGGTTGCTGCAACTGTTGTGCATTGTGTTATACCAGTAGTTCCTGCAATTAGGCTGAATCAAGGAGAGGCCTTAGTATATCTTCGGAAACTAAAACTTGCCAGTATTTAAGACTAATACACATCTCTTGTGTGGTTATTTTCTTCTATGAATTAGTTTGTTGACATAATTGACATATGCCTGTCTGCAATCAGGAACTGATTACTTACTACCTATATATATAATTTTCCATATTGGATATAAGTACATGTTGGTAGGCTTTGGTCTTTGTGGATTCAGTATTGGAGAGCAATATATTCCAAGATTTTGGGCCTAATGGTTTGCTTTCCAGATACCTTGCAATGGCTTCAATTGGCGATGACAACAATTGGTATGGTGGGACCTTAATTTATGATGAAGATGAAAGTAGTGAGGCCTACAAGCATTATGCCGAATTATGTCAGGTAATTATTCTAATTCTTAGCTGCCCATAGAAAATTGAATGAAGGTTTTGTCAGATGCCCTTTGTGTCTACTGTAGTTGCAAGGAGGATATCCACATTTACCAGCATCTGATCTGCTTTAGATTCCGAGAATAGCATGAAAGTTTGGAAGCATGAATCTCTCACATTTATAATTGTTTGCTTTCTCGGGGCACTCAGAACTGGTACCCTATATATGTCTTCAACCATCAAATTGCTTATTACATGCTGTAGGAGATTAGTATGCCATTTTGGAGCCAACATGCTATATAATCTGAGTGCTGCTGCATGCACACATCAAAGCGTTGCACTGATGGCTCGTCAATCACATTGCACACTAGTGACATCAAGTGTCGTTTATGTGGCGGCATGTATGGGGCTGAACTACAGCCTCTTCTGGCTTCCTTTTTAATTTCACGTGGCATTCGGTGTGATTGATATCAGCACCAAAATACCAGTGAAATCCTTATTTATATAAATGCAGAGAACGTGATGACCGGTTATAAGCACTGTTGACTTATGTTGGGCCATACCATTTCTTAGGATACTTGTACCTGTTTGGTTTCTTTTCATTCCAGATAGTATTCCATAAAATCCCATCTCGCCCCCCTCCCCCACCAAAATTTTGCTTGAACCCAGTCTCTTGCAGGGCCCAGTTATGGATCCCTTTGAGCACGACCCCGAAAAAGAGAAACACTATGCGGATGCTTTGTGCATGGAGCTGGACAGCACCGATGATGCTCTTGTCGAAGCCGAAATGGTGGCTGCTCTCAAGGAATATGATCAGATCGGGGCGGACCTCGGAATAGTCTCTTCATGCAAGGGCGTTGCGGAAGATCCGAGCCAGCTGACCAGATGGATCATAGGGGAAGAGAAGGTGCAGGGATGGAGGAAATGAAATGGTTACCACGGCAGACACATTCGTTCTATGTTTGAAGTCCTTGCAGTGATTGCTTTGTGTATCGATCGGATGCATTCTTCTGACAAATCGATTGCTTTGTGTATCAATCCGATGCTTACCACCGATTGATTGCTTTGTGTATTGATCCGATGCATTCTGACAAATTTTGTATAGCATCGGTCCGTTTCCTTGGGATAAAAACTCGGGCTTCTCTAAGAGATAGCTAGCAGCTATACATGAGTTGGTGGTAAAATGAGTTGGTCTTTTTTTATCTTTTAGATTTCTCCATCTAGAGAATTCATCTTAATAACTACAACATCAATATACCTACAACATTGATATAAAGATTGTGGATTCAATCGTCATTTGATAAATCCTTGTTCCTTGTCGGAGGGGCATTTTGAAAATATTAAATATAAATTCTGAAAAAAAAAACAAAAAGAAGATGGTTCTCAAATTGCAACAATATTCTCTAATTGATATATATAGCAACTCTTCGGTGCTCTCTAATTGCAATCATAAATCTCCCTAGTGCTTTTTAATCGTAATAATAATAATTATTGGTAAAGATAATTTTAAATTTATTTTTCGTTCTGTCTGTTTGCCTTAGCTATTACAAATATTTTTTGATAGATTATCATAAGATCTTGGGCTGTAATCTCATCTTTGCCTTGAGTCGCTTATTCTTGTAAAAACGACGAGAGAAAATAAAAAAACTAAGGATAGGATCAACATGCTTTCGATTATTCTTGTAAAAAAGGAAGAGAGAGAAAAAAGAAAAAAAAATAGAGGATCAAACATGATTGATCTTTGATTATAGTGTTACACATTTTTAGAATTTTTAATTCTTTTATCGATGGATGTATTATTAAAATAAATTTTAGCAACTTTGACATCAACAGTAGTAAGCTTTGATGGAAATTACAAAATTAAATATTATTTAAAAATTAAAAAATTAAAAGAAAACAAAATTCCGATTCAAAACAGAAACCTCCGACTCGATCTGCAATCATTTGGAACCGATCCAATTTTAATTCTATATTTCACAAAATCAATCTGATTCTATATTTCACAGAATTAGAACCAGCCAGGATTGATTCTATATTTTAACAGATGTAACCATAATAGTTATAGTTCCAAAAGCCTGTCCTATATTTCGCAGAATTAGAACAAGCTTATTATTTATGGTCACTAATTCATAATAAACTATCAAAATCTTAACCAACTAAACTTGTTAGCAACTCAAACATACATACATACATACAAGCATTAGGTCAGACACTAATTCAATCCAAAAACTTATCACTATACACAAACCTTTATCACTAGGAAGGCACCTTTAAGATCAAGAGGCACAAAGATATTAGCAACCTAATGCAACAACCCATTAGCTCAGATTTCTCAAATTATTTCATGTCCAAAATTCAAATCAACCAAGTTTAATCCACAAAACAAAATCAAAGATGAAATGTAGCTTGACCTACCATCAACTTCCCTCTTCTGTTCTCTCATATGACAAATAACTTAGCAGGTAGCCAATCTGATGAAAAAAAGATAACCAAACAAAGACTCGGAAAAACCTCAAAACCAGGCACCAATTAAGCCTTCATCCTACCATAGAACTTGCTCTTCTCCTCGGTTGTCTGGAAGCGTCCATGCCCGAACTTAGAAGAAGTATCAATGAACTTAAGCTTGATCTCCTCGAGGGCGACGCGAGAAGTCTGCTTCAGTAGGGACTGTCTAAGCGTAACAACCCTCTTCTTTGGCCCAACACAGCAACCCTTGATCATAAGGTAGTCATCTTTCACAATACCATAGTGCGGGAAACCACCCATTGGCGTGATATCCTTCTCGGTTCTGTTTAAAATAAAAACAAGCCAAAATACTCAGTCAGGATACCTGACAATAACTCAGATCTCAAGTTTGATACTGCCCTAATAGTTTCTCCGTATGCTTGACCAAGATTCTAAAGGAAGTTATTTTGGACAACTTTGTTAGAAAGCCAACTGTAGAATGGGCAATTAATTACCTGTCAAACTCAGTAATAGCAGTGTGTGACTCATCCCCAGATTTCCCAATTTTATATATCTTTTTGTTCATTTCAGTACGGTGGTGGTATCCATTCTGACCAGCACGAGCAACAGTGTAGGAGACTCTGGCTGGGTGCCATGCACCAATACAGGCAACCTTGCGGAGTCCTCTGTGTGTCTTGCGTGGGAGGCGAGTGACACCCCAACGAGTCACCACACCTTCATAACCTTTACCTTTGGTCACACCAATGACATCGATCATCTCATCTTTCTGGAAGACAGCATCGATAGGGATTTGCTTCTCAAAGAAGCTGTAAGCATAGTCAACCTTCTGAGCAACTGTCCCTCCATTGACCTGGATCTCCATCAAGTGAGCCTTTTTCTGTTTCAGACCTTTCATCTTCCTTATCTGAGCATAAACAGCAAGTGACAAAAGACCATAAGATCACTTCCATAAATGGAACCAACATAGAATACATGCTTTGTAAATAGATAGAGTTACAGTGAGCTACAAAACGCATCCTTTACCTGCTAAGAAATATAATGCAAGAAATATTCATAACAAATTCAGCTAATCCTATATTAAATCTAAATAATTTTCATACAAAAATTAGTTGGTCATTTGTTTATGTAGAATAAAGAGGTCCATCTAAATATGTTTTCTAAGTAAATTAGATTGTTATACTACTAACAAGTTGATGATAAGAAATTGTCCTCGTTAACAGAATAGACATTGCTAGTCATCTTCTTCAGTATCTTGTTCATTTTGGTCACGACGTGTGCATTAAGATTTAAAAGAGTGGTTGGCACCATGCACCCAATGGGATGTCTAAGAAAAATCGATATCAAAGAAAAGTAGAAAACTAGCGTACTTAATATGATAGTAAACAAATCTGAAGAATACTAGCAACAGAATCAAACTCCAAAATTATCAAAAGCAAAATAATTATGATACTGTAGAAAATACTAGGTTGTATCACACAGGAAAGCAGCGATACCTTGTACTGAGATCACCCTGGAGTTTCAGGTAAAATAGCTTGATCTAAAAACTGCCAAATATTAGTCTGAACTGAGATTTTATCAAAGATCACAACTAAAAATGGGTCAACAATATCCTCAAGGCTTATCTCATGTTGTTTGAATGGAGATACATTTTAAGAGAAAGGATGCAATGCTCAAATTTGCCTATTACATAAGAAAAAAAATAAAAATAACAAACACTCAGTGAGATATACAACAAACACAAAAACCTGACAAAATAAACTAGTAGATTCCTAAAAACATTCAGGTATGAGAAGAGGGTTAACATCAAGTGACAGTATACTGAGAATAAGTTTGTCAGCAGCAGATGATGAAGATCCATATTAAGACTGCACTAATAATGTCATAAATGAGCAATCTCATCAAAGTGCACCTGTGTATGAGCCAGCACACGGATAACAGATGCATATTTCTTCATCTTCTCCAGCTGCACCTGAATTTCCTTCTTTCCTTCTTCACTTTCATATTTCTTGGAGTACTTTGTAAAAGCCTTCTTCTTGCTCTTGTACCAGCTCTTGTAAAATCTCCTCCTCACTTCCTCACTCAGATGTTGAGCCCACACAGTGTTAAGAGAACGAAGTCCACGTGGAGTCTTCACGTAAGCAACAACTCCCACAACAATCATTGGCGGAGTTTCTATGATAGTCACAGCCTCACATGTCTCCTTCTTGTGAAGCTCTGCAAGAAACAATCGAGTATAAGAACCTCAAAGCTTAAGAAAAGGCATAGAAGTGTAGGATATAATGAACAAGTCCAATAAGACTTATGACAAAAGCAAGATGCAGGCATTGGTAAAAAAATCCAATTGCAGAAAACATTAAAGCACTGAATAGTATGACACAACGAACAAGAAACCCTCCAATCTAATTTATATCATAAGGAAAAAACATGCAAAATATGTAATAAATTAGAGAACGTAAAGGAAGCAAATGCAACTCTTAGTTAAAACAAAGCTAATGCATTGCCGATTTTGTTTGTCCGCATTGTTGACAGATAAAGAGGTATAGCAAAGCAAACGAAAAAAGACATCAAACATTCATCACAAAGTGAGAACACTACATTTGCAATATATGAACTAGCAGACAAACAAAAACAATGAACCAAGCTCTGTATGAATAAACTGCAGTCTATTCTAAATTTCATTTCTCTCAAGTGTAATTATAAATTTCACTTAACCTGTACAAGAATAAATTGCAGTGTACTCTAAATTTCACTTCCCTTAAGTTTGATTATAGATTTCATTTCTCTAGTTTGACAATATAACCAAAACATCAGTTTTGGAAAGTCGAAAGTTTCGTACATAAATTACTTGTAGTAATATCAAAAACTGAACAATATAATAAATCATATGTCACAATGTGCATAAGAAAAACTTAATTCTAGAGGCACATTGTCTTTTGTATTTCAGTAAAAAAATGAAACATCATTGAAGAAAACAAATATGTAATCATGTTAGTGTTCCTTGTTTCTGATGAAAATTTTGAACTTTTAGAACACAAAACAAACTTTCGAATCATAATAGTTGGAGTCATCATGTTTTGCATAGGGCAACTATTGGAGGCAACTACATAACGTCCCAAGAATTGAGGTCATCTACATAGATCTTTTCCCATGATAATCATCACGATATGAATGAGACAATTTCCCACGTTAACTTTTATTAGTAGAAAGTATAATTTTTCAACTAATATTTAAAAAAAATACATAAATCGTCCCTGTCAGGTGATTGTTCACCAGGTCACTCATGAGGTTTGAAAATCACCCAACTCTAGAAATCAGATAATTTTCACTCAATCTCAAGAACAGATAATTGTTCAAGTAACCACAGTAGATCGTCCAAAGATCTCAGATATTTACTAAGCCTGCCGCTCAATCCCACCTGCCACATCTGAGATGCCTGTTCCCACTGTTAAGGAACCTCTTCCTCATAGTTGTTTTCTGGTTTTGTTCTCGCCAAACACTTATAATTTTCAGTTCTGTAAGTGATAGTTATGAAATGACCACAAATATGCTTATAGAAAACAAAATGACAAATAAAACAGATCTTTTTCATAATTATGAAAGTACAAATACAGGATGCCAAAACTGCCCTATGAAAAGTGATATGAAGATTTTATTTTTCTTAGGTTCAGCAACTAAGCAAGAGACATTAGGTTTGAAATGTTTATGTTGGAACGACTGGATGAATTTAGTTGTGGTAAATAAAAGACTTATTATCTAAAAAGAACCATCTCAGAATAGCACAGAAAAGCATACAAACATAATGATGCATCCAAATCTGTGTTACAGAATATTGTTTCAAACAATATAGCCAACTTTGGGTAATATATACTTACTTGAGCCTGGTTTGTCAACCTCACGAACAATGTGTGTCATTCCAGACTTGTATCCAAGGAAAGCTGTTAACCTGCAATGCTTTGTCGGATCATCCTTGGGAAAGGACTTTACTGCACCAAGAAAGCACACATATTTCTCATCACTATATTACTGGTACGTTAGCAAACAGAATTGTTCCACCATCTTTAATTAGAAAGAGAACTAAAGGGAAAGAATTTCAACAAGGAACTTAAACATTATATATTGGAGGGCAAACTCTATATAACCAAATCTGCAAGCTAGCATGTGCTCTTTACATAAATCAGTGGATCATGGAAGCACAAATTTTCCCATTCGACAACCAAGCTCCAGATAGCAACAACATACTACAAAAGTTCTTAATGTATGACGATCATGGCAATCTGAAAACTAGATTAGGCACTGATTAAACAGAACATTCTTAATTCATGTAACCAAGATCCAGCTTACCTTTGCCACGGTGGCGGGAGGCTCTCTTCCTGGGGAGGAACCCGAGGGACCCATGCCTTGGGTGTTCAAACTTACGATGAGACATCCTTCTTACGTCTCTCCCCCCTGAAAACATGACCAGGGCTTATGCTTATGCACTGCCTATGAAAGCCGAAACAGTCATACAGCAAATCACGAACACACCAGAGGATCCCGTAACAAAAGATCGACGGATCGAACCAAAAAATACACAACGGTAGAAGCATACATCTGATAGAAACAAATGATGCTGATAGCATTCAACTCGGGAAGAACGAAATCACCAAGAGAAGCGTCTAACAAACAGATTTCTGAAGGGCAAACACCAGAATCCAACTACAATATCAATCCCTAATGAAAGGGTTTGTTCCCAGACCTCGAATTAAGAGGTGCAACAACAATCGAATCAAGAAAAAAAATAATCGAAGCCATAATCTAACCATCGAAGAGGGGGAGACAGAGAGAGTGAGAGGTAGAATGGGCATCTTGTTACCTCCAACGGCGATTGCTTCCCCGCATTCGCGTCGGAAACCCTAACGAGGGTTTATATAGCCGCCGAAGATGCGACAAGTGCATGTGCGGCGCTGCCTAATCGTAGAATGACTAAATTATCCTCACTGAAATAATACGACCGGCACCTATAATTCATCATCTCCAGTTGCGAATCTTGGCGTACTAAAATCTCGTAGACCGATGACTGATTACGATGACTTCAATGGACGGTCCAGATTCACACACACACACACACATATATATATATATATATATATATATATATATATATATATATATATATATATATTATTTATTTATATATATATATATATATAGTCCTGCTCGAAGAACAATATTTCTTAAATCCGATTCAACAATATCTAAATTTAATTTAAGTGAATTTAACAAATTTGGATCCGAGAAGTTTCGACTCGCTGACCAAACTCTTAGTAATTTCGAATCCAATCAAAGACTATCCAAACTTGATTAGATCCGATATTTGAATTTGATAAAGCGGTTTGGATAAATTTGGATCCGAAAAAATTAGACCCGCTAACCCACCAAAAGTCGTGAGCCTCTTTTAAGTCCGAAGAGAGAAAGAAGGAGAAAGTCCGGCTCCGACGTCGGGATGGCGCCGCCCAAGCGTGGGAAAGCGAAGGGGGGCTCCGCCGCCGCCCCTCCCACCGCCGCATCGGCGGAGTCCAAGGTCCCAGGCTGCCTCCGCCTCCTTCCTCCGTCAACTGTTGCCATTACCATCCACGCCAAGCCGGGCTCCAAGGTCGCCACTGTCACCGGTCCGCCCCTTCCCTTCGATCCCCTTTCCTTCCATCTGCTTTGTTTTCCTGCAAAGAGTCATATTTCTGGTTTTAGATGTGGGCGACGAGTCTGTCGGCGTTCAAATCGATGCCCCGGCGAGGGACGGCGAGGCCAACGCCGCGCTGCTTGAGTACATCGGCTCGGTGAGTCCTCGATCGTCTCGTCTATTCACTTTCTACTCGTAGTTTCTTACTGTAATCTTCTCGACCAACAGATCGTGTTGGGTTCTACAAAATTAGTTTCTAGTGTGTTAAAAAAATAGATTTTTGGTGGCTAATTTGGTGCTTGATTTCCTGTTCTAAGAACTACGCTAGGAGGAAGTTTGTGCTAAAATTACCTAAGGATATGAATCATTGCTTGAGGAATTTAGAGGAAATTGCCAGAGGTAAAGCTTGTGCAACATAATCCTCACATATGTGAAGTTATGGGATGGAACAATGCAAATGTTGGTGAGAAGGTAGTAATAACAATTCAAAGCACTGGATATTTTACTTATTTCACTTAACCCTAGTCTATTATCCGACTATGTTTTCAGACTTAATAAAAAAAACACAAGATGACAATTAATTATGATCATATTGATTATAATATTGTAGAATTGGTTAAACTAAGAATGTTCTTGGGCTTCTAGTTAATTGAAAAAGGAAAAAAGGAGATAGAATTATTGAGTCATACATATAAATTTGTTCATGAGTTTGATTTTGGAAGGCCTCATGGAGCATAAGAGCTCCATCAAATTGAATGCAAATAAAATTTGTAGGTATTTTTTTCCAAATAAACCAGTTATTTACCACAATTCTTGAGTATTTTGTATATCTTCATCTTCTTCACCTCTAAATGAAAGTTATTTAGCTTGATGACCAACAATTGAAGAGAACTAAGTATCCAGTGAGGAGCAGAATTTATGTGTTCATGCCAGGAACACTGCCTTCAAGTGGTTCAAAACTTTTGATTTTTTTTTTTTTGTAATACCGATATCAAGTTTTCATAAGATCTGAAGATCCAAAGGTATAATGCAACTCTGACCTTGAAATGGACCTAATCCGTAGTCCAGACAGTTTTCATAATGTATTAGAAAAAAAGATATGCTAAATTAGATTATCATGTCTTGATGGGAGCTATCCTTGCTGACTCCTAAAGAACACATATACCAGTGGCTATATTAGCACCATGAAAAGCAAATTGTTTCTTAATTGTCTTCTCAGGCATCAAGTACGTAAATTTGATTGGTAAAATGAGCGTTGTCCAGATCAAACGGTACTCTGAAATTGTTGTAGTAGTGTTCAGTCCATCAGTCACTTGGAAACTTGATTATAAATTTCAGATGTTTCTGATATCATTCCAAATTATAGATGGCCAAGTCTTAAAGTTGCATTATGCCGTCAACCTCGTTCCACCATAATGTGAAGTTGGTTACCTTGATTATATTTCTCGGATTGATTATGGACACAACGTCTCCCACCTTTCTACCAATTTTTGTATTGACACTTCTCATTCAGCTCATACATCTTTTGCCTCCTATACCTGCCTGCTCACAGATGTCCAAGTAGGTGGGATTTGTGCATAACTCCAGGTCCACTATAACCTTAAATCCAAAGTGCAGGATTTTGAAAAATTTTGGATTGTGTTGGTCAGTTCTTGATGCCATATAAAATTGAAGATTCAAATGTTCATTGGATATCAGCAAAATTTGTTCGGAAATGATTCTTTGATCCCAATTTGACAACACAGATGACATCCAAGGTCTGTAGTTATTTTCTTCAAAAATCCAAGAATTGTTAACAGACCCTGTTTCCCATTGTCTTAAGTATGTTTCAGTTGAACATCTAAATAAGGAATCCCTTCCTGACCTAATCTTTGTAATTGCTCTGTTATGACTGCTTAATTTTAAAAAGTCGATCAAAGCAGATTGAAGAAACATATATACTCTTCTGAAAGGCTGGGAAAACTATCTACCATGCAGCTTTTAGGAGTGAAAAAACGGCAAGTATCTATTGGATCTGGTTCAAAATCCAGAGACAAGGTCGTTCTCGTGCAAGATGCAACTCTGCAAAGTGTTTTTGAAGCCCTTAACAAGGCATGCAAATGTGAGTAGGTAAGGAGCACCAGAGCTCACTGTGGAAAACTTGGAAGTTGTCCACGAGTTGTTTGTTTTCTCGAGTTTCATGAGACTTAATATAAATTAAAGTTTGTTTACTACATTGTTCCCTTTGATCTAGTTTTATGAGTAGTTTATTGCTTGGGGGCGATAAACAGATACTGTTCCACAACTTTTTTTCGTTTACAAGTTCTAACAAAGTTTCTTGGGGGCGAGTATCTGTTTATTGCATGATGACTTTGGATACCACAAGCGATTGATGATCTTTAAATCACTGCATGATCCTGGAAAGAAGCCATCACTGCTAGTTTTGTGAAACTAGTTGCTGCCCACCTTGTTCAGTAACCATTCATCCAAAAGTCTGTTTTTGCAGCCAACATTCTAAAGAAGAAAAAGAAAAAAAGATCCAACAAGCTTGTAAATAAAAAAACACTCTCTCTAATCGCCTGCAGTCTTATCCGCCTGTTTGTTTTATAGTAAGTGAAAATCAACATCAAAGTGAAGTTTTGGACTTTGATTTCTGCATGAGCATCTGATTATTAGAATTTCCTGCGTAAAGTTTCTCAAAGTAATCTCGCTTTCTCATAAATGATTCTAGAGTTGGAACTCCTTTTATTTTATTTAATTTCTTTCGAAATTAAATAATTTTACGTTCAGTTAATTACTTGCATCACTTCCATCAAAAGTCTTATTTCAATGATTCACTATTGGTGAAACAAGTCTTGGCTCTTCAATCATCAAGCTACGTAGACTTTTACATACAATTGAGATATGCTTGAAGAACATACAAAATGGCTTCACCTTAAATTGTCTCATACGTTCTTGCATACTCAAGTATTTAGAGAAGAAGAAATTGATACACAAGGTGAATCTTTTGATCATGATTCTTGGCATCCAAAACAAGTTTCCAAAACTCTGCACTAGGCTTGACCATGCTCAGCTAGCTTTGATCATTCCACAACCGCTACAGTGGCTGACACTTAGTTACCACCCATGTATACCATCTCCTGCTACATCCAAAAGCAGGCATTAATATGGTCCAAAAATGGAGGAGAGGAAAGCGGGAAGGAAAGATCACATCACATCACACTTTTCCCATATCTTAGTAGTTGTGTCCCCTCAACCTTGTACATCACGACAGAATCCTCCATTCCTTGTACATCACCATACTCTTAACCTTATCAAATCTCTCCTCCTAATAATGCTATGTAATCTGTTGTTATATCCCATCAACCCTTTGCAGTCTCTCCAACTCTTAAACATATATCTGCTCTCTTCTCTCTCTCTCTTTCTCAAATGGGACTGCTTTCTAAAGGATCTGTTCCGGTAATCCTCCTCCTCCCCCTCTTCCATCTCTTGGTGTCATGTTGCGATGGCTCAAGAAGCATGCACGCCTTGCACCGGAGACCGGCGGCAACGAAGAGGTCAGGTGTTGTCTTCTGGTTCTTGCCGAGAGCGACGCCGATCCCGCCATCAGGACCTTCGAAGCGGCACAACTCGCTCGGCTTGCATTCTCGAAGAACAATGCCTTGAATAAAGGTGGGATGAGAGGCGTCTCCCATCTCCAAGGTTTTCTCTTTCACTCCCTCTCCTTCCATCTCTTTCTTGCTGCATTAATGGAAGCCATGCAAAGGTCGAGGTCTTGTCTCGTATCATGGAGATCAAGTGTGTGTTCTACTGTGTTATCTCGGTCTCATATATATGGTGATTTCGAACTCCTCCTACCTTGTTCTTTGCTGGAGCACAAAAAATGCAAGGAGAGGTTTGACAGAGACCATTGTTTTGATCCGAGTGGGTACGTACGTGTGCAGGGGCGTGGGAGTCACCGGCGATGCCCGTGAGCGGTGGGCAGAGTACCCTTCTTCTGGGAAGCCATGCGTGTGCAGCCCCGAAGTGGGAAAAAGGATAATAAGTGTGTCCTTTTTTGCTTCCACCTGCAACACACAGCTGAGTTTGAGGTGATGAATCGGTCCTCTTTTATGCATGCACGGATCGTGTGCGGAAGTTTTAGTGTTTGGAAGGCATTAGCAGCTCACGCAGTCACGTGTCTCTTTGATTGATGACGGAGACAACAAAAAACCCATCTTTCTATCATATACACACACAACCCTACTTGATCTTTCTATCGTACCCCCGACACACAACACATATAGTTAATACATAGAGAGAGAGAGAACTGTTAACCAAAATTTAGATTTTAAGAACTTAATAGATATTTAACTTTGACTAAAACAATTTAGGCTCCTTACATTAATGATACTACCGAGTGGGGTCATGAAGGGTTCGAGTTGAGAATATTTATTTGTAGATGGGATAGAGCCATATCCTAGTAGTGTAGGGTCATTATTGGATTGAATCTCATCAAGACATCAAATTCTTAAGTGGAAGAGTGGGTAATTTAGACTTTTTGTATGAGCTAATTTCAGTTTAAGGATTCTGAGCCATTAAATGTGAGAGAGAATATTGGTTTTGTAATAACCATAATTTTCATATTGAATTTGGTTTATAAGAACTAAATAGATATATACTAGTATTAATTTAGAATAAAATATTTTAGATCAATGATTTAGGCCAATCAGATTAATAGATTAATTATTTTATAGATCTGATTACAAATTTGAATATTGAATTCAGGGGATGAAATAGGAAATGATATTTTGATTCATATAACAATATATGTTCAATTAATATTTTTCAAATTTAAGAAAGAATAAAAGAAATATTTTATCCTCTTATTTCTCGAATCAAGATCCTGATGTATATAAATATAAATGGTCTAATGAAAGTAAGAATTTTTAAAAATATTTTATTTTTGAAGAAAAAAATAGTGTTCGTGTTATTATAAGTAATATTAGAACAAGAGCTATTGTTAAAAAACATATTCTCTTTTTTGGTTTTTCTCAGATTGTACCTCCCTTTTCAAAATTCACAAACCATCATATCCTATTTTTAATGTTTCAAAAATGCCCCTTAAAAAGCTATCATTTTTTTTCACCCAAATTCAAATTTTTTTTTGCAACTATTTACAGTGTTTTGTGGATTGATTTTTATTTATAAAACGTTATATAGTATTTTAAAAAACATCATGTAGTTTTTTGCAATATTATAAAGTAGTTTATTTTAAAAACACTATACAATGTTTTTGAAACAAAAATATTATGTAGTGTATTTTTCTAAATACTATATAGTGTTTTATGGATAAAAAACAATCCACAAAACACCATAAATAATTGGAAGAAATTTTTTTTGAAACACTATGAATAGCTTTTGGAAAATATTTTTAAAATAAGAGGTAATGGTTTGAGAATATTGAAATGGGAGAGTATCAACATCAAAGATGGAGTTTCCAGACAATCGCCCTTAGAATAATTTAGTGTTGAATATGGTGAGATATTTAAGTGAGGAATAGCTGTCACGTGTCTTAAACTTCTTATCTTCTCTTGCTGTTCCAACGCTGACGACCCGCGACTTTACCTTAGTCACACACACGTACACCATACTAAAAGCTCACATGCATTTTACCTTAGTCACACACACACATACACTATACTAAAAGCTCACATGCATTATTGATAGTGATCATTTATATCGTGGAAGAGCGAGCTAGCACGATTTGGTTTGATTCCGGATGCGTAAGATCGTCCACCTTCAGTGGGTCAGGTTCAAGCTCTGACTTTCGAGTCGGATGCTCCTTGGAATTGACTGCCTGCTCCTCGGGCTCTGGTTCCTGCACACATGTCGGGGTCCGGAAGGGGCTCCCACCCCTCCGAAGATCTTGTTAGTATTAAGTGGCCAGAGAGGGACCTCCTGCCAATGGACCCCTCGAGGGGTTTTTATCTTCCCCTCGCGGGAACCGATCGTACCTGGGTTGTCTATCACTGTCGACACTGTACTTGGTTGGCATCGTCCCGGCCTTTATGGGACGGTGCTGTGCACGGTCGGTGTCATCTCAGGCTTTGTGGGATGGCATTGTGAATGGTCGACACCGTCCCGACCTTTGTGGGACGGTGCTGTGCATGGTCGGCGCCTTCACGGTATGGCGCTGTGCACGGTCGGCGGTGTCCCGACCTTCGAGGTACGACATCGTGCACAGTTGGCGTTGTCCCGGCCTTTGCGGGACTGTGCGGTGTATGGCTAGTGTCGTCCTGGCCTTTGTGGGACGGCATCGTGTTAAGGGGAATTTTGCTGGGTGGACACCGTCTTGGCCTTTGCGGGTTGGCGTCGTGTCGACCCGGCCTTTGTGGCTCAATGTGGTACTCGCTTAGCGTCGTCCCGACCTCTCCGAGACGGTGCTGTGCTTCGTCAGTGCTGCCTGCCTTCGCAGTAATAGTGTTGACTGAGGCGTGTTGTCCTAGAAGCTGATGTGGTTGTGAATAATGGTAGGTTCCCAAGATGTGAATAATGGTACGGTTTTGGGGGGTTGATGCGGTCAGGACTTTCGTGTTCAAGGGGTATGATTGGGATGCGATTGGTGCGGCCAAGTGGCGGGATTTGGGCGTTGAGTGGTCGATGCGGCCTAGCGGCATGACTCGGGCACTATATGACTAATGTGGTCAAGTGGCGTGACTCGAGCGCTGTATGACTGATGTGGCCAAGTGGCGTGACTTGGGCATCGCATGACTAATGCAGTTGAGCGGCGTAACTTGGGCACTGTATGACTGATGCGGTCGAGCGGTGTGACTCGGGCACTACATGACTGATGCGGCCGAGCAACGTGACTCGGGCATTGCATGACTGATGGGACCGAGCGGCGTGACTCGGGCGTTGCATGACTAATGCAACCGAGCGGCGTGACTCGGGCACCGCATGACTGATACGACCGAGCGGCATGACTCAAGCATTGTATGACTGATGCGGTTGAGTGGCGTGACTCGGGCATCGCATGACTGATGTGGCCGAGCAGCATAACTCAGGCACCGTATGACTGATGCGGTCGAGCGACATGACTCGGGCGCTGTATGACTGATGCGGCCGAGCGGTGTGACTCGGGCAATGTATGACTAATGCGGCCGAGTGGCGTGACTCGGGCACCATATGACTGATGCAGCCGAGCGACGTGACTCGGGCACCGTATGATTGATGTGGCCGAGCGGCTTGACTCGGGCACCGCATGACTGATGCGGTTGAACGACATGACTCGGGCGTTGTATGATTGATGCGGCCGAGCGATGTGACTCGGGCATCGCACGACTGATGCGGCCAAGTGGCGTGACTCGGG